CGATGGGTCCTCACTTCTGCTCTGTCCGTGTGGGAGAGGTGAGAAGTGACCCAAAAAGGGCTTTTTTAATTGTAATGGGAGTAACCAAACACTAATGAAGGCTTGTAAAAGCAGCTGTCTATGCCATGGGAAATGTGCTGCTCTCCTCCTACAGCAAAGCTCCTTCCTGAGCCTGACTTTGTGGGTGACACTCGCTGGGATCGGCTGTGGCTGAGCAGAGCCCGCAGAGGAGAGCAGGGGTTGTGGATGCTGCAGCAAAAGGCGTTTCAGGCACCTGGCTGTAGAGGAAATGTTTTGGCTCCAGCAAGTCATTTCCTCCTAAAGAGAAACTGAAAATGCTTTAATTTGGGGAATGCTTGCTTCAGATGCTTGCACAATTCCTGTGGTAGGGTAGGTCTGTGGTGGTGGTGTCCTGGTGAGGTGAGTCAAGGGAAGCAGCTAAGATAGCACGCGATGGACCTCTGTAAAGGTCACATACACTTGTGTGGCAGCATAGGGAATACCCAGCAGTGCTGCTGGTGCTCGTGCAACACGTGTAAATCCATGATGCACGTCCCGGTGTGCAGCCTCCTGCAGCACCTTGCTGTGATAACGTGCTGCCGCTGAAGTCATCGCTACTGGTGTGTTCTGCAGCAGTGTTTCTCTTTAGAGGGGAAATGTGTTATGGGTTATATTTACCAGCTAAAACCGGAGGCTTGTGGTTATTGAGACTTGCTTGGTGTCTTTTCCTTCAAGGAAAGGTAAAGACCCCCTTGCAGCTTCAGCCTTGGTTATGTGTTGGCCTCTGTCTTACGCACCTAACGCTGTGGTTGTATTAAAGCGCTGGCTGGAGCTGTAGGTTTTTAGAGGTGTGTCTCATAGTCCTTAGGCTCGTTTTGTTTTGTAGCTGTCCTGGCAAGTCTGATCAGCCTCCAAGTTAAGGTCAGAGATCAGCATGTCAAGGACTTCTCGTCATGGCAGCAGATGGGAACTTCTGGAGGGCTCCCCTGGAGCCTCCTCTTAAGCCATTTAGTGACTTCCCTGCAAGGCTGCAGGAGCTGGTTTCCCAAGGTGGGTAAAGTAGCTGCCTTCAGGATGTGAAGTTGTCCTCACGTGGGAGCTAATTGCTTGAAACAGCTTGATGAGACACTGGAGATGTGCTTGAGCCTCCCTTCCTCGCAGTGACACTAATGACAAAGTCCTGCCTCCAGCCCCAACCGTGCTGCAGGCATCTGTGAAAACCTGACCTGCTCCTACCCAAGCTGGTGTCGCCAGATGTCTGTAAGCTGTTTTGGTGGGGCTGCATGTGGTTCCTGTGGGTATGGGAGGTCCTGGACTATAATGGGAATTCCTATAGTGAAGGGGAAACATGGAGCCTACATCTGTGATGCCAGAGAGGGGAATGAGGACAGGTACAATGAGGCTTGCTGGGAGGGATGGAGCAAGTGTTTTGGTGGGTCCTGCTAGGACAGTCAACCATGGTGCAAGCAGACTTTGGAGCTTCCCTGCTTGTAGCAGCTTGAAAACACATGAGTAAGACTGAGCAGGACAGATGAGCTTCTGTGAGCTGTTTTACTGCAGTTCCTGTAGGCTTTGGAGTTAGTGATGCTTGCCTTGGGTTTGGTGGTGTGAGGCTGTGCATCCACCCATCTCAGTGCAGGTCCAGGAGGAGCAGTTCCTCTTGTTCCAGTGTTGGGGTGCTGGAAAGTCATGGCTATCCTGACTGGTCCTATGTGCCTCTTCCGTGGGCCTTTGCAGACGAGGTGGGTACCACATTGCTTGGGAGCACCAAAAGGGAGGGAGCTCAGAGCTGGAGCGTGGTGCCGCCTGTGGGCAGCAGGATCTGCCCAGGTTGCTGCAGAAACACTGCTTATTTCCTGGTAAAAGCATATTGTGTTCTCCATGTCTTTTGTTAGCTTCAGGGAGCTGGGTGTCTGTCACATGAACGTGCAGGCTGAACTTGGAGAAAGCATTCTGTGTTCAGGAAGAACAACAAAGGCGAATTAGATCCCGGCCTGTTTGTACAGTGGCATGTCAAACCAGTGACCCCTGTGAGAATATGCAAAGCCAGAGACCTGACTCCTCTTAGTCAAAGCAATTCTAGGTGGAAAACAACCCTGGGCTATTCATGTGCTTCTGGATGCTTTCCCCCAAACAGCATCTATAAAGGCAACGCTGGTCCACAACCAGGGAACCTGATGGACCTGAAGCTGTGACTTTTGGTGTCGCTTCTCATGCCCAAGCTGAAACCAGGGTGCTCGGGACGCTTGTGGTTGGCAGTGCCTTATGCAATGAGGATTAATCTAAGTAGGTGGAGAAGTATTTCTTGGCTGGTTAACAGGGGGGTGAGGCTCCTGGAGGAACTTGATGGCTTCAGATAGGTGGCAGGAGATGGGGGGGTGAGGACTGCATAGCTGATGGCAAATCGTCATTCCCACCACAACAACCTTAACCTGGATGAAACGGAGCTGGACTTCTCAGCTCTGTGCCTGCCGCATTGCAGCAGCCACACAGGAGATCTGGATTTGGGCAGTTAGTCCTGTTTGTGTCCACAGCTTTAATAATGGAAGGTGCAAGCTGGTGGACCCGGCTGTGCTGGTGGTGATGCACACTGCAGACCCACGCGTGGGTTAGGTGGCTCCAACACCCCTACCACCCGCTCTGCGGTGCTGTG